CGCTGATGACCTCCGCCGGGGAGGTTCTGATCACCCCGGGGGGGGGGGAAAGGCCCGGAACGGGGGGGGGACGGGGGGAGGGGGGGAGGAGGGGGGAAGGGGGAGGGATGTGTATGAGGTGGAGAGAGGGGGGAGGGGAGGGGGAGGCGCACGAAGCGATGTGGGAGTTCTGCAGCTTGCAGATATGACCCTGCGACTTCAAGTCGCGGATAGGGAGGGGGGTGATGGGGGATGAGGGAGAGCCGTACTGTACCGTACCGTACTAGATCCAACGGCGGCAACCGGATCCCAGCAGCAAGGATTCCCCGGGAGGGGGAGGGGGATAAGGACCGGGGGCCGGGTCCTGGAGGACCCCCCCCAACCCCCTTACACAGGCCGGGAGGAGTGACGGCGCCGTACACTCACTCACATACATTCACACACATTGGGCTCACCTGTCCGTGAGGTACAGCGTCATGAGCGGCTGAAAGGTGGACCCCGCGGGTACGGCAGCCAGGATACGGGACTTGTAGTCCTGGGCCTAAGGGGAAAACACACACACACATACATACATACACACACATACATACACACACTGGACTGCTGGTGCTGCCTGCGGTGCCGGTGTTGGAGGTGGTTGTGCAGTCTGTCCATATGTCATGGGCGGATGATCATGGGCGAGGGGGCTCTCAAGGACGTGTGTTCGGGGAGTTGTCGCAGCCGGATGGCCCGCAGCTAGGCAGGGGCCCTCAGCACCCCTTATAACCTTGTGTGAGCCTCACCACTCCCATACACTTTCATTCCAACCCCATGCCCCCTTACTCCTTCCCCCCACCCCAACCCCCACACAGCCTCCACCCGCCGTGCCTCCCTCACCGCCTGAGTGGTGTTGATGGGGGGCACCAGATTGGGCATAACGATGGCCCGCCCGAAGTGCAGGGCGGTGTGGGGCACCACGTCCTGGCGGGTAACGAACGTAGGGAGGGGGCCGATGCGGCGATGGTGAGGGCCCGGATTTGGAGGGGATTAGGGAAACAGGGTTTTGGCGGGTAAGTAAGAGAAAACGCGAGGGGATAGGCACGACGATACAAGATGATGGGTGGACGGGGCGGGATTTTTGGCTAAAGAGAAGGAAGCGGAGAAACCCGCCCTCCCGCTCTTTCCCCCACCCACGTCACGTCACGTCCGCTCTTCTGAGGAGTGACGGCGGGCCCTCGAGAGGTGGACCTCACCGCCATGGGTTGGCCATCCCGGACGTGAAGGTGCCAGTCGTCGGGACGGGTGATGGTCAAGGACTGTACTGCGGCGGCCGCCGCCACCGCCCCAGCGGCGGCGGCGCGTGGCCGCACGGTGTTGCCCGCCGCTGTTGTGACTGAAGCGCTTAAGAGGCGGGTTCCGGAGCAGGAGGCGGAGGAGCCGTACGACGTGGCGCCGCCTGAGATTTGGGCGGTGGCATGGAGCGGGTGGTGGTGGTGGTGGCGGGGAGGATGGAGGGGAGGAGAGGGGGAAAGGGGAGTCGAAGGACGTTTTGAAAGGGGGGGGTTTGAGGGCGGGATATCCGAAGGCCTCCAAGGATGGTCCCGGCGCGCGGTAGAAAGGGCTGGGGCTCAGCAGGCACAGCGCGGTGAGGAGTGGAGTCTGTAGAGGGAGATATGTGGTTTGGGAGGAAACGCTGTGTGGTTGTAGGCGAGGTGTGTGTGTGTGGCAGGGGGTGTTGGAGCTGGTGTTGGGGTTGTGGTGCGGCTGGGAGAGTTTGGAGGTAACGGCAGCGGCGGTGATCCCGCCATATTGCTGCGGCGTGGCCATGTGCTGAGTTTTATGAGGTGGTGGTGTAATGGGGCCACTAGGTGGCTTTGCACATGGCTTTTATGTTTTTGCATGAGTACTGGCCCATCGGCCAGCCAAGAAGTGGAGAATGATCAGCTGTGCGCACAGGAAAGGTGATGAGAAACACGGAGGGTCGCAAAGCACGGCAGTGGGCCGATGGGAGTCAAAGCCCGAAAGTAGAGACTTCTGATAACTGCAGCAGCGGCCAAAGGATTATTTTAAATGTCGCCTTTTCGTCACAACTTGGAATTCGTCCATGCGAGCCGCGGATGGTTTGTAATTGGCATACGATGGCGGCGATGTCCGTTTAACCAGCCCGCGGCGTACCCGTGGGAAACGATGCCTTGCAGCCCGTCTTACAGGAAATTGACGTTTTAAGCATCCTGGCTGCAACTCCAAACATGCAGGGTTGCTTGCAGCGTGGACCGACGAAGTGGAGAGCTGAAGCGTAATTATAATGACGTCCTTCATGCGTTGATAAGTTAGCACATAAGCTCCTAATATTTAGAGGCCAAAGCTCACAGGGGACATGGCCGGGAAAGGTAGTTGGGAGGCCCTGACATTACTCAAACAAACGTCCAGAATGCACATTACGACTTTCAGTACTGTGAAATCAAAACGTATTGTGTTCTTATCGATGCACTTTGGCCGCAACATTCACGAAAGCTTTCATTAGTTCGTTGCAGTGGAAGCAACACCCCCTGCCAACAAATGATTCGCAATGCGCACCAATTACTTCTAACGTTTTGAATGGATGCCTGTAAGACTGATTTGTGTAGGTCGCAAATGTAAAACTGAAGTGTAACCGGCCCAGAACTCAAAAGCCCGACATGAATTATGCGTGAGCATTGTGCTACCTTGTAAATTGCATGCGGTGGCCGTTATCACGTGTTGTCGCAGGTCGCAGCGCTGAAGTAAAGCACTGGGAAATATTGGAGCCGTCTCCTTGCCAATAAGCTGCCATCTAAACGACTAGGCCACCCGGCCTCGTCGTGCGTTTGTTACCGAAAACCGAAAGATCCATTCCACTAGCACAATGAGCAATGCCGAATCAGGGGCGAAGTCCTTATTGTTACGCACACACAAGGTTACAAGGTCCCCGATTCGCACGAGCAAGCCCGTTCATACAGACAACAATTCGAACACACAAACGATATTACTACAAAGCAACCACAGCTGCTCACGCAGCAGATGAGCGTGCTCCTTACCAAAAACTACCTCGCTGCTACTATAGCTACAACTGCCCTCCTCCTCCGCGACAACTACATGCTTAATAAGCATTGCTTAATCGCTATAACGGCTCTATTTTTTTGTGCTCGCAGGTGCTCACTCTAGGCAGGTTGGGCGAGCGAGCAACGGCGGACAGCATGACTTTGCTGCTTAGAAAGCAATCCCATCCTTAATATAAATCGCGCACCACAACACCGCGACACAGACCACATCAACGCTCTTCGCGGCCCCTAACAATGCCTGCCCGTTAGCTGTATCCTTTCGTAAGTCCGCTTCGCAACCTTGTGCCCGCGACGGGGCCGTGAACCATTCTGCATACGCCGAACTAGAACGCGTGTACGCAGGTCTGCCAAACATGGTCCCTCGCCGGCGGTTCAGGCCAGCTCGAAAAGCTAAGCAAACGACACGGGGCTATTTATGACCTGCAGCGCGGACGGATGCCCCCGAGCGACCTGCTGCAGGCAATCCTCGGCCACCTGAAAGCGTGCAATATCATGATTGACATGTCACAAATGGCGGATAATTACACCTTGATCCCTAGAGATGGACGCAAGATTATGGTAATACGTACGGATCAGGCGTAGGGCGGGAAGGAGATGTGGATTCTCCACCGCATCCGCCGCTTACCTTTTGCTGCATGCGCTTTTGGTGCCTGGGGAATGTATTTCACTGCACAGGCATGCAACAACACCCAAAAATGTTGCCCCAAGCTTGCAGGCGCTTTGTATGTGCCTTAGTCAGCGTTTTATAACTTTCATAAGGTGAAGTTATGCAACTTTCTGTTTAATGACAGCATTTTGGACGAGTGCGAAGGGTGTGTGTCGCGAAAAGCACAGAGCACATGCCGTGTCCAGATCTTTGCGTGCTCCCTCATTGTAACCGGCAGGAGAGAGTGGGTATGTTGCTGGAAAGTGGCCGGGCATATCTAGTTGTGAAGACGGTTTTCAGGAGATGGATTGAGTTTGAAGAAGGAGAAAAGCGTGTGTGTCCAATATGGGAAAACCTGTCGGCCACAGCTGTGTATGCGCATGCCATGTTGTACTGCTCGTTGATACGCGGCGCAAACCTATGTGGGACAGGACAGTGATACTTGTCCGTTTTGCGTGTTGCTCCACGAGTTACCAATAAGGTTCAAGCCTTTTGCCCTTTCCGTTTTGTTTTGGCCTTGTGCACTTCGTATGCGCGGCATGTTTTGCAGGCGCTCTCCTGCACAGTACATGCAACGGACCAGAAAACATTCCGTACAAATATCGTTCTTTTGGCTTTGCTATGTTACACAATGTTACGATCGTCCTTGCTTCGCTCTGCGTTGGGGTGCTGTGTCACCGCAGATGTACGGTGCTGGGTTTCTATTGAGCCTTTGAGAGCCTTTGCTGCCAACAGTAAGGACATACGTGTATGGTGATGAGCGTGAGCACGTCCCAATACGTTATGTGGCAAGGTGTCATGGGTCTAAGGAGCAGGTTGAACGTGAGGGGCCTTACTCGCACACACACACGCACATGCGAATACCGTTGGTCGGGTCACAGAGCGAAATTGCAGTGCCTTTGTAACTTTATTAAAGTTGTTCATGCTCGCGGTCCACAAAGTTCAGCTCAGAGCCTCGCAACTTCCCGCGGTCCGAACGCATTTCATATAAAGACGTTGACCGTTGCACCAAATATTTTTAATATTACTCAAGATTATGTAGACCACAAATCCAATGCAAAATGGCTGCATGTGGCATGCTCTGGTGCTTCATGTTGGCTTGCCCACCTAGAAGGTGGGCAAGAACCTATAGATGTTGGATGAAATGGACGAGCATGCTCGGACTGAGACACAATTACGTAACAATCGCATTCACAATTACTCTTTGCGCAATCCGGAACGAACGTCGTAAAACGAGGCGCTGCGTTCGGTGCCTTGGCGCAACTTGGCGCGGTGTTATCGAAGAACAGAGAAAATATGGTAAAATTCAAAGCGCGGAAGTCCGGGAGATATGCAGTGTGAAGAAGTGGCCGAGCATAAGGCGGTTACAAAAGTTCGCATGACGCAAATCGACCAGACATCTGCAGATGTCAGATCGACCAGACATCTGCAGATGTCAAATCGACCAGACATCTGCAAATCCCAGCTGGGATGTGATACCCGGAAAAATGGCAAAGTGAAGCGTCAAGTAAAAAGAAGAAATTCCTAAGAACAACTAGTAATAATGAACGTTGTATTATATGAACGTTGTATATAAAGTGAAGCGTCTAGAGGAGGGAGAGGAGGGAGAGGAGGGAGAGGAGGGAGAGGAGGGAGAGGAGGGAGAGGAGGTGTGGGTGCGAAATGACGGCCTTTCGACATGTCGTGGTAAAGTGAGGTTAAGTGCACGAACACAACTTATCCATTACCTTTGCTCCCTGTAAGCTTTCAATCGATTCAGCACCAACGACTCACAGTGCTCAAACAGATTATCAAAATCTCATCACAACATAGGCTGCGGCACCCTCAAACGCAACCACTACAGGCTAACACAATTCCGCTTTTGGGCAAGCCGACATTACGTGTAGCGTGTTGTTTGACCATAGGCCGTGTCATAGAACTGCAAGAATACGGCGGGCCTGCAGGCCCGAATGCACTGCAATATTACAGAGTTATAAACCTTTCAAAAACATGCTAATAGGTTCCAAAATACTTCAACATCAAGGAAATCGCCTCCTCCTAGTAAAAGGCAAATAGGGTCGGTCATCCGTGAACAGCACCTGATCATCCTTGCGCGTTCATATGTTTTTTGTTTTCGCTTAATTTCATATGGCTATCTTTTTTCTAAATCATCAGCTCGGATGACTCGGATAAGCCTACCTAATACGAGCATAAAGTACAACTAAAGAGCCAAACTGTACATGGCGCAGGTGCCATCTTTATATACGCTGACGTATAAATGCTGGCCTAATTACATGTGCGTTTTAACAAACGAACTTATTTCAGGCAACGGCAGCGAGTATCTTCGTGTTAACACAGCACGGATATCACGCGCCGCTTTCCTTTTTGCATGCTTGTTAGTACACGATGGAAATAAGAATATCATTTATGAAATCACGTCTGAATTCAATCACGTCTGCCGTCCTTATGCCGTCCCATAAAAACTGCTTTACGTTTCCTGTAAATGCTTGTACTGCGACCTTTGCTTAACTTTTTACTAGATTTTGTACTTCAAATGACGGAACCTGAATGGTCGCCAATGGAGTTACGCATGAGTACTTAAGTTTTAGTATAGTAATCA